GTGGAGGAGAGGGCGCGGCATGGCGGCTGGGTGGTGGAGGAGGAGAGAGAGGGCGCGGCTGGGTGGTGGAGGAGAGGGCGCGGCATGGCGGCTGGGTGGTGGAGGAGAGGGCGCGGCTGGGTGGAGGAGAAGGGCGGGTGGAGGAGAGGGCGCGGCTGGGGTGGTGGAGGAGAGGGCGCGGCTGGGTGGTGGAGGAGAGGGCGCTGGCTGGGTGGTGGAGGAGAGGGCGCTGCATGGCGGCTGGGTGGTGGAGGAGAGGGCGCTGCATGGCGGCTGGGTGGTGGAGGAGAGGGGCGCTGCATGGCGGCTGGGTGGTGGAGGAGAGGGGGCGCTGCATGGCGGCTGGGTGGTGGAGGAGAGGGCGCTGCATGGCGGCTGGGTGGTGGAGGAGGAGAGGCGCTGCATGGCGGCTGGGTGGTGGAGGAGAGGGCGCTGCATGGCGGCTGGGTGGTGGAGGAGAGGGCGCTGCATGGCGGCTGGGCGGAGGCCGAGTGGGCGCTGCATGGCGGCTGGGCGGAGGACGAGTGGGGGCGCTGCATGGCCGCTGGGCGGAGGACGAGTGGGCGCTGCATGGCCGCTGGGCGGAGGACGAGTGGGCGCTGCATGGCCGCTGGGCGGAGGACGAGTGGGCGCTGCATGGCCGCTGGGTGGTGGAGGAGAGGGCGCTGCATGGCCGCTGGGCGGAGGACGAGTGGGCGCTGCATGGCCGCTGGGCGGAGGACGAGTGGGCGCTGCATGGCCGCTGGGCGGAGGACGAGTGGGCGCTGCATGGCCGCTGGGCGGAGGACGACGAGTGGGCGCTGCGTGGCCGCTGGGCGGAGGACGAGTGGGCGCTGCGTGGCCGCTGGGTGGGCACTATGCGATGGTCTGACTCTTGGCTCTGCTCCGGCTGGCAGGTGAAGCACTTCTCCAAGTACGGCTTGCAGGACTCCGATGAGGAAGAAGACAATTCGGCTTCTACAGCAGAAAATAAGAAGATAAAAGCTGCGGCGCTCCCGCCCCCCGGACAAACAAGCACCTCCCCCACCACAAGCCACCCTCAATGGAAAGCTCAGCCCTCCACCACAGGTAGAGAGGGGGAGAGGGTCTGTCTGGGAGCCCTAACCCCGTACTGTGGTGTCTGGATTAGAACGCTGTGTGCTTGGTGTCATGGCTGTCCTCTATACAGATCCGTGTCCATAACATGTGAATGTTCCCAGTGTGGTTCTCCTGTGTTGGGGGGAGGGGAGTCAGTCATGGATGTGCAGGGTGGGATGGATGTTGGGGTGCAGCTCCTGGTACACCGGTGAAATCTGGGTTTGGTAAGGAGGGAGTCACCTGTAATAATCCCACCCTGGTGATGTCAGACACAGGCGGTCAGATCAGGTCCCCTCCGATGGACATATTATGGGTCAGGACTGGTGGTCGGGGGGGGTTAGGCCGGCCATACACTGGAAGACTTCCATTGTTCAGTCCTGTGTGCTGAGGGACATCGGCCTATGGATTCCTCAGTGCTTGCTGAGTAGTATGGATGGATCCGGGGCCTCCTGACCACCGAGGCCTCCTGACCACCGGGGCCTGCTGACCACCGGGGCCTGCTGACCGCTGTCTTCCTGGCCTCTTCAGATCCAAGGATGTCCAGGGACGGGGTGCCCACCACACCTCCATTGTCACTCCATGTATGGCCGGCTATAGGGTATCTAAACCCTGAAACATCGATCTTGTTGTACCTTGCCTGTCCTTAGATGGTGGTCTTCAGGTTTCTCTTCATTATAATCTGGTGATCCTGCCATTATCTCACATCCTGCCGTACAGCAGTCACCCTAGAGAGAGACACTATATTGCCCCAAGTATCGGGTGCCGACCTTTAATGGCCCCCCAGTCTTAGTCCGTAGGGTTCAATATTGAGTTGGCCCCGCCCTTTCCTCGCACATGACCTGTAATGGCCCCCCAGTCTTAGTCCGTAGGGTTCAATATTGAGTTGGCCCCGCCCTTTCCTCACACATGGCCTTTAATGGCCCCCCAGTCTTAGTGCGTAGGGTTCAATATTGAGTTGGCCCCGCCCTTTCCATGCACATGACCTTTAATGGCCCCCCCAGTCTTAGTCCGTAGGGTTCAATATTGAGTTGGCCCCGCCCTTTCCACACACATGACCCTTAATGGCCCCCCAGTCTTAGTCCGTAGGGTTCAATATTGAGTTGGCCCCGCCCTTCCCACACACATAACCTGTAATGGCCCCCCAGTCTTAGTGCGTAGGGTTCAATATTGAGTTGGCCCCGCCTTTTCCCTGCACATAACCTTTAATGGCCCCCCAGTCTTAGTCCGTTGGGGTCAATATTGAGTTGGCCCCGCCCTTTCCACACACATGACCTTTAATGGCCTCCCAGTCTTAGTCCGTAGGGTTCAATATTGAGTTGGCCCCCGCCCTTTCCAGCTATAAACAGCTTCAACTCTTCTGGGGGAAGGCCGTCCACAAGGTTTAGGAGGGTGTCTATGGGAAGGTTGGACCATTCTTCCAGAAGCACATTTGTCAGGTCAGGCACTGATGTCGGGGGGGAGGAGGTCTGGCTCGCAGTCTCCGCCCTAATTCATCCCAAAGGGGTTCTATGGGGTTGAGGTCAGGACTCTGTGCAGGACAGTCAAGTTCCTCCACCCCAAACTGGCTCCTCCATGTCTTTATGGACCTTGCTTTGTGCACTGGTGCGCAGTCATGTTGGAACAGGAAGGGGCCATCCCCAAACTCCTCCCACAAAGTTGGGAGCATGAAATTGTCCAAAATGTTGCCTTAAGAGTTCCCTTCACTGGAACTAGGGGGCCAAGTCCAACCCCTGAAAAACAACCCCAAACCATAATCCCCCCTCCACCAAACTTTACACTTTTTTACACTTGCAGTCAGGTAAGTACCGTTCTCCTGGCCACCACCAAACCCAGACACGTCCATCGAATTGCCAGACAGAGAAGCGTGATTGGTCACTCCAGAGGACATGTCTCCTCTGCTCTAGAGTCCAGTGGCGGCGTGCTTTACACCACGGCATCCGACGCTTTGCATTGCACTTGGTGAGGGAAGGCTTGGATGCAGCTGCTCGGCCATGGAAACCCATTCCATGAAGCTCTCTACGCACTGTTGTTGGGCTCATCTGAAGGCCACACCAAGTTTGGAGGTCTTTAGCTATTGACTCTGCCGACAGTTGGTGACTTCTGCGCACTGTACGCTTCAGCATGCGCTGACCCCGCCCTGTCATGTGACGTGGCCTACCACTTGGTGGCTGAGTGGCTGTTGTTCCCAGTGGCTTCCACTTTGTTATAATCCCACTAACAGTTGAGCGTGGAATATTTAGTAGCCAGGAAATGTCACGGATGGACTTATTGCCCAGGTGGCCACCTATCACGGGACCACGCTTGGAGTCACTGAGCTCCTGAGAGCGACCCATTCTTTCACCAATGTTTGTAGAAGCCGTCTGCATGCCTAGGGGCTTGATTGTATACACCTGTGTCCATGGAGGGGATTGGAACACCTGAATCACATGATATGGAGGGGATTGGAGCACCGGGATCACATGATATGGAGGGGATTGGAACACCTGCATCACATGATATGGAGGGGATTGGAACACCTGAATCACATGATATGGAGGGGATTGGAAACACCTGAATCACATGATATGGAGGGGATTGGAACACCGGAATCACATGATATGGAGGGGATTGGAACACCTTAATCACATGATATGGAGGGGATTGGACCACGCTTGGAGTCACTGAGCTCCTGAGAGCGACCCATTCTTTCACCAATGTTTGTAGAAGCCGTCTGCATGCCTAGGGGTGTGATTCATTGGTGTCACTGAGCTCCTGAGAGCGACCCATGTCCAATGCCCATACCACACACATCATACATGACATGCGTACATCCAATTCCCAGCCATCTACATGTGTGTAACGGTTACACCGAAGTGATTGTACGATGTATTCTGTCACGTGTGTGAAGTTCGATCTCTCCTGATAAATCGGGAGGATTTCTTTACTGAGAACGGTTATTTGGGCCTCAGAATGTGCAATCTCTCTATTAATGTGGCCAGACGCCATACAATCTGATTGTACAATCTCCTTTCATATCAGCCAACCGCGATGAGGGCTCATTGACCCCATAGTGCCGGGACGTCACGGTTTTCTGCATGCCATCTACAAGGGCACCATGAAATCGATGGTTCTCTCTGTGCCCTCCTCACACCACCACACCGGTGTCACATGCAGGAATCTGCAACATGTATAAAACTCGGTGTGACTGCAAGTGATATCTGTGCATCAGTTTCCATCATTTGTTCTCCAGGTATGGTGGGAGCAAGGCTTGAAGTTATGAGGGTCTTCCTGGCTGGATACAAACCCAATACATTGCTTCCCTAGAGGAGATTGTACGAAGATCTCTCAGACTGAACAGTGTATGGCCAGTGACTCCTCCCCCCCCCCACCCCACAATATGGCAGGTAGGAGGAGGTCCATCACTGGGGTCCTGTGTCCAGGTACCATAGGATACCAGCGTGTTGTATGTGGGGGTTTCCTGGTCCAGGTACCAATGGATACCAGCGTGTTGTAGGTGGGGGTTTCCCGGTGTCCAGGTACCAATGGATACCAGCGTGTTGTAGGTGGGGGTTTCCCGGTCTAGGTACCATAGGATGCCAGCATGTTGTAGGTGGGGGTTTCCTTTTCCAGGTACCATAGGATACCAGCGTGTTGTATGTGGCGGTTTCCCGGTCCAGGTACCTGCTGGATACCAGCGTGTTGTATGTGGCGGTTTCCCGGTCCAGGTACCTGCTGGATACCAGCGTGTTGTAGGTGGGGGTTTCCTGGTCCAGGTACCAATGGATACCAGCGTGTTGTAGGTGGGGGTTTCCTGGTCCAGGTACCAATGGATACCAGCGTGTTGTAGGTGGGGGTTTCCTGGTCCAGGTACCAATGGATACCAGCGTGTTGTAGGTAAGGGTTTTCCCGGTCCAGGTACCAATGGATACCAGCGTGTTGTATGTGGGGGTTTCCCGGTCCAGGTACCAATGGATACCAGCGTGTTGTAGGTGGGGGTTTCCCGGTCTAGGTACCATAGGATACCAGCGTGTTGTATGTGGGGGTTTCCCGGTCCAGGTACCATAGGATGCCAGCGTGTTTGTAGGTGGGGGTTTTCCTTTTCCAGGTACCATAGGATACCAGCGTGTTGTATGTGGCGGTTTCCCGGTCCAGGTACCTGCTGGATACCAGCGTGTTGTAGGTGGGGGTTTCCTGGTCCAGGTACCAATGGATACCAGCGTGTTGTAGGTGGGGGGTTTCCCCTGTCCAGGTACCATAGGATACCAGCGTGTTGTATGTGGCGGTTTCCCGGTCCAGGTACCTGCTGGATACCAGCGTGTTGTAGGTGGGGGTTTCCTGGTCCAGGTACCAATGGATACCAGCGTGTTGTAGGTGGGGGTTTCCTGGTCCAGGTACCATAAGGATGCCAGCGTGTTGTAGGTGGGGGTTTCCCGGTCCAGGTACCATAGGATACCAGCGTGTTTGTAGGTGGGGGTTTCCTGGTCCAGGTACCATAGGATACCAGCGTGTTGTATGTGGGGGTTTCCTGGTCCAGGTACCTGCTGGATACCAGCGTGTTGTATGTGGGGGTTTCCCGGTCCAGGTACCTGCTGGATACCAGCGTGTTGTAGGTGGGGGTTTCCTGGTCCAGGTACCAATGGATACCAGCGTGTTGTAGGTGGGGGTTTCCCGGTCCAGGTACCATAGGATACCAGCGTGTTGTAGGTGGGGGTTTCCCGGTCCAGGTACCAATGGATACCAGCGTGTTGTAGGGGGGGTTTCCCGGTCCAGGTACCAATGGATACCAGCGTGTTGTAGGTGGGGGTTTCCCGGTCCAGGTATCAATGGATACCAGCGTGTTGTAGGTGGGGGTTTCCCAGTCCAGGGGCGGGCGGCGGACACGGGGGTGGGGGGCGGGCAGCGGACACGGGGCGGGCGGGGCCGGCATCCTTTAAATCCTTTACTGACGAGGATCCAAGTCCCAGTCTTCTGCCATTTACATCAGAATTCTCCGACTTTCTGCACGTGGTTTTCCGAATCTGGAAGGTCAGCCTGCTGGTCTCCAGTCTGGTACCAACCAAAGCTTCTACAGGACCTTTCCCTTGTAGCCACTCCCATCTATATAGGGTGTAGACACCCCAACATGCCCTTGACACCCCTCTCCTCCAATCCTAATTGTTCCCGTTTTTGTACTCTTTACTGACAAAAATCCTTTTTTCAACCACTGTGGATACCCCAGGGGAGCCACTAGGACTTTGGTCATTCAGGATGGTCCCCTGAAAGGATTTTGATTTTTTTTTTTGGCTCCACCATTGTGGATGGAGCTGCGAGGCCTATGGTCTTCTGGATGTGCAATCTCCGTTTAGACGTTCCTCACTATATACATATGGTGTGTTCTGGAGTCAAACTTGGTCTTCCATCCTAGTGTACCCTTTGGCCTTGTTACCAGATGGGTGTTGCAGCCTCATCTGGTGTCGGCTTTGGCCGTGTACTTCTCCAGGTGGCTATTGAGCCCAGATTTCCTATGGTTCATGTTGGGCCTGTTAGCAGTTGTTTGCTGTTGGACGTCCCGAAGGTAAAGACTTCCAGTGTCCCTCTAATGGACAAAAAAGAAAATGTGATTTTTATACTCGCTATAAAATACTTTGCTTGGAGTCCATTGAAGGACACAGGTGACCCCCCCCCCGTGTTGTTTATGGGCATGCTATTGGGGCCTGCTACAAAACTTGGCTGGCCTACAACTCTGCCAGTCCTTCTGTAGGCCTCAGAAAACCCCAAAGGGAAGACCTCCCGTGTCCCTCAATGTCAACCAGGAATTCGATTGGACGGTAAGCATAGCCATTGTATTTTTTGTGAGATTTTTACTCATTGGGTTATTTTCGTGGTTTTGCCATGTTCCAAGCTGGTGGCCAATCCTTTACTTTGAGACCCTTTTGTGCCCCGTAGTAGCGGCAGTATGAACGGTTTTGCCTCTTCTCAGGGTGCAGTGCTGGAATCGTTGGGGCACGCTCTGGAGCTGGACAGTGATATGGTGGATGTGACTCAGGAGCAGTTCAAGGAAACGGCAATGGAAGATCTGGACGTTCCGGAGGAGCAGGAGGCACTCTCCTCCTCCATACACATTGCCTCTTCTCTCGGTGTTAACCCTCATGCTCTGCAGGTGAGTTGCTCAGAGAGAGAGGGTTTAGATCATAGTACAACTAGTTAAAAAAGGTTAGATCGTGCTACAACTAGTTGAGAAGGTTAGATCACATTACTAGTTGAGAGAGAAGGCTAGATCATGGTACAACTAGTTGAGAGAGAAGGTTAGATCACGTTACTAGTTAGAGAAGGTTAGATCACGTTACTAGTTGAGAGAAAGGTTAGATCACGTTACTAGTTGAGAGAGAGAGAAGGTTAGATCACGTTACTAGTTGAGGAGAGAAGGTTAGATCACGTTACTAGTTGAGAGAGAGGTTAGATCACGTTACTAGTTGAGAGAGAAGGTTAGATCACGTTTACTAGGTTAGATCACGTTACTAGTTGAGAGAGAAGGTTAGATCACGTTACTAGTTGAGAGAGAGAGAAGGTTTAGATCACGTTACTAGTTGAGAGAGAAGGTTAGATCACGTTACTAGTTGAGAGAGAAGGTTAGATCACGTTACTAGTTGAGAGAGAGGTTGGATCACGTTACTAGTTGAGAGAGAAGGTTAGATCACGTTACTAGTTTGAGAGAGAAGGTTAGATCACGTACTAGTTGAGAGAGAAGGTTAGATCACGTTACTAGTTGAGAGAGAGAGAGAAGGTTAGATCACGTTACTAGTTGAGAGAGAAGGTTAGATCACGTTACTAGTTGAGAGAGAAGGTTAGATCACGTTACTAGTTGAGAGAGAAGGTTAGATCACGTTACTAGTGAGAGAGAAGGTTAGATCACGTTACTAGTTGAGAGAGAGAAGGTTAGATCACGTTACTAGTTGAGAGAGAGAAGAAGGTTAGATCACGTTACTAGTTGAGAGAGAGAAGGTTAGATCACGTTACTAGTTGAGAGAGAGAAGGTCAGATCACGTTACTAGTTGAGGAGAGAGAAGGTTAGATCACGTTACTAGTTGAGAGAGAAGGTTAGATCACGTTACTAGTTGAGAGAGAAGGTTAGATCACGTTACTAGTTGAGAGAGAAGGTTAGATCACGTTACTAGTTGAGAGAGAAGGTTAGATCACGTTACTAGTTGAGAGAGAAGGTTAGATCACGTTACTAGTTGAGAGAGAAGGTTAGATCACGTTACTAGTTGAGAGAGAAGGTTAGATCACGTTACTAGTTGAGAGAGAAGGTTAGATCACGTTACTAGTTGAGAGAGAAGGTTAGATCACGTTACTAGTTGAGAGAGAGAAGGTTAGATCACGTTACTAGTTGAGAGAGAGAAGGTTAGATCACGTTACTAGTTGAGAGAGAGAAGGTTAGATCACGTTACTAGTTTGAGAGAGAGAAGGTTAGATCACGTTACTAGTTGAGAGAGAGAAGGTTAGATCACGTTACTAGTTGAGAGAGAGAAGGTTAGATCACGTTACTAGCTGAGAGAGAGAAGGTTAGATCACGTTACTAGTTGAGAGAGAAGGTTAGATCACGTTACTAGTTGAGAGAGAAGGTTAGATCACGTTACTAGTTGAGAGAGAAGGTTAGATCACGTTACTAGTTGAGAGAGAAGGTTAGATCACGTTACTAGTTGAGAGAGAAGGTTAGATCACGTTACTAGTTGAGAGAGAAGGTTAGATCACGTTACTAGTTGAGAGAGAAGGTTAGATCACGTTACTAGTTGAGAGAGAAGGTTAGATCACGTTACTAGTTGAGAGAGAAGGTTAGATCACGTTACTAGTTGAGAGAGAAGGTTAGATCACGTTACTAGTTGAGAGAGAGAGAAGGTTCAGATCACGTTACTAGTTGAGAGAGAAGGTCAGATCACGTTACTAGTTTGAGAGAGAAGGTCAGATCACGTTACTAGTTGAGAGAGAAGGTCAGATCATGGTTACAACGTTACTAGTTGAGAGAGAAGGTCAGATCACGTTACTAGTTGAGAGAGAAGGTCAGATCACGTTACTAGTTGAGAGAGAAGGTTAGATCACGTTACTAGTTGAGAGAGAAGGTTAGATCACGTTACTAGTTGAGAGAGAAGGTTAGATCACGTTACTAGTTGAGAGAGAAGGTTAGATCATGGTACAACTAGTTAAACAATGCACCTCTCTGCCTATCAGCAAGGTGATTGCTAGCTGTGTGCTTGGAGAAAGGAATCTGTTGTCTCTGTATTCCCGTGGGAAAGTATCTGGACGAAGTCTCCTGTAAGAGGGAACCTACACAAGGCTGAGGGCCATCAGTGGTTCTCACAGGAAGTCATTCAGTTTCTTGTCGGCATGTCTTTACGGAGGGATCCTACCCCAACATACATCACGTGCCCCCAACATGCTTCATGTGCCCCTCTGCGTTGGAGAAGCCCCTCCTCTGTTGGGCGTGGCTTGATTGGTGTTTCCTGTGTTTGTCAGGTGATGAAGGCGTCTCTTCTGATGGAAGAAGATGGTGGGAGTGACCTCTTATCGTCTTATAGCCGCTACTCACCTTTACCGGAGACCTCCCAGGAAGTGCGCTCCCCACGACTCCTCCACCCCTCCTCTCAGGCTCAGAGAGCCTCCAGTGGTGAGTTCACAACAGGACGTAGAAATCCCTGTTCATGTGAAGATGGTAGTAACCCATAGCAACCAGTCAGATTGGTGTCTTCTCTCGGGTTGCTGCCGGTTTCTAAATGTGTGACCATTAAAATTCAGATTGTGAACTGAATGCTGTGAAATTGTCCTGTTTCGAATGTTCTGTTCACTAGAAGGGATACATTCGTCTGTCCGTCCCGTCACCTGCTCCCCCCCCCCCCCTTCCTTCCCCCCCCTTCCTGCTCCCATTCCCCCCCCCCCCCCCCCCCCAGTGTGTTCCCGTCACCTGCTCATTCCCCACCCCCCGTGTTCCCCGTCACCTGCTCATTCCCCACCCCCCGTGTTCCCGTCACCTGCTCATTCCCCACCCCCCCGTGTTCCCCACCTGCTCATTCCCCACCCCCCGTGTTCCCGTCACCTGCTCATTCCCCACCCCCCGTGTTCCCGTCCCTCATTCCCCCCCCCCGTGTTCCCGTCACCTGCTCATTCCCCACCCCCCGTGTTCCCGTCACCTGCTCATCCCCACCCCCCCGTGTTCCCGTCACCTGCTCATTCCCCACCCCCCGTGTTCCCAGTCACCTGCTCATTCCCCACCCCCCGTGTTCCCGTCACCTGCTCATTCCCCACCCCCCGTGTTCCCGTCACCTGCTCCTTCCCCACCCCCGTGTTCCCGTCACCTGCTCCTTCCCCACCCCCCGTGTTCCCGTCACCTGCTCCTTCCCACCCCCCGTGTTCCCGTCACCTGCTCCTTCCCCCACCCCCCGTGTTCCCGTCACCTGCTCCTTCCCACCCCGTGTTCCCGTCACCTGCTCCTTCCCACCCCGTGTTCCCGTCACCTGCTCCTTCCCACCCCTGTTCCCGTCACCTGCTCCTTCCCACCCCATGTTCCCGTCACCTGCTCCTTCCCACCCCATGTTCCCGTCACCTGCTCCTTCCCACCCCATGTTCCCGTCACCTGCCCTTCCCACCCCATGTTCCCCACCTGCTCCTTCCCACCCCGTGTTCCCGTCACCTGCTCCTTCCCACCCCATGTGTTCCCGTCACCTGCTCCTTCCCACCCCATGTTCCCGTCACCTGCTCCTTCCCACCCCGTGTTCCCGTCACCTGCTCCTTCCCACCCCGTGTTCCCGTCACCTGCTCCTTCCCCCACCCCGTGTTCCCGTCACCTGCTCCTTCCCACCCCGTGTTCCCGTCCCGTCCCATGTTCCCTCACCTTGCCCTTCCCACCCCGTGTTCCCGTCACCTGCTCCTTCCCACCCCGTGTTCCCGTCACCTGCTCTTCCCACCCCCCGTGTTCCCGTCACCTGCTCATTCCCACCCCCCGTGTTCCCGTCACCTGCTCCTTCCCCACCCCCACCCCCGTGTTCCCGTCACCTGCTCCTTCCCACCCCCCGTGTTCCCGTCACCTGCTCATTCCCCACCCCCCGTGTTCCCGTCACCTGCTCCCCCCCCCCCCCTTGTTCCCGTCACCTGCTCATTCCCCACCCCCCGTGTTCCCGTCACCTGCTCCTCACCCCGTGTTCCCGTCACCTGCTCCCCCGTTTTCCCGTCACCTGCTCCTTCCCCCCCCGTGTGCATGAATGTCCCCATTGTTTGAGGTCCATAACTTGGTGGGTTATACTGCCACCTATCCGAGGAGGATTGAACAGTGCTGTTCTCCTTGCTGGAGAGGAAGCTGTAGCTGAAGACCTGCAGTGCCAGGATCTCCCTGCTTCTGCTTCCTCCATTCTGTTCCGTGCAGTCATGGCCGTCCTATAGGAGGTCGGTGTACTCTGGGCTGTACAGCAAGAAGAGCTGAAACCAAGAGGTCGTAGAATCCCAGGTTGGTCTCTGTTGTCACTCGGTGGCCTGGAGACCATCTGGAAGAGGCCACAAAACAGAGTGGAACTGACTAAAACTGAAGGAGCTGCACGTGACAACCGATCCGCTTTAGCTTCAGATCATTCCGCTGAGCTTTGAAAGTGAAAGCTAGAGCCTGGTTGGTTGCCATGCTCAGCTGCTCCAGTTTTAGTCCATTCCCCTCGTGGATTTACAAGTATGAATTATTTTGAACTTGAAATTTCTGCGAGTTTAAAAAGAAAAAAAACGATCGGTTTGCTCTGAGCTGTGAAGAAAAGGAGCTCCTCGACCCGTAGGAAAGGAGTTTATATCTGGAGTCTTGGGGCCGGCTCTTGCAGTGTCCTATAATCAATCTTCTCTTCTCAGTTGGAGGTCTTCTACAGTCCCGCTTCACCGGATCCTCCCTACTCAAACAGAGCGAGTCTGGGCAAAGTCCGCGTCGATCTTCATCCACCTCCATGGGGGCCCCGTGGCCCGGCCTGGGCCTTCTGGCCCCCTCCTTCCTGATGCCAGCTCCTGCTCCAGATGTACAGCTGAAGACAGTGGGGACCCGAAGGCAGCAAGGCCTGGTACCTCTGAAGAAGTCTGTGGGCTTCAGCCGTGGCAAGATGTTGATTGACATGGGTCTGTTTTATGGGCCGCTCATTCCGGGTTGGCTGGGGGCCCAACTGGACCTTGGTTCACGGCGGAGAGTTCATCAGCGAGTCCAGCGTGGTGGAGAAAACCAACAATCTGGACTACAGCTTTCTTCCCAAACCAGTCACTGCCAAATCGTAAGTGTCTGTGGAGGCCGGTATGGCCACGTTCTAGGGGTTACAACATCTACACCCCCCAGGCATTTTATGTAGAAGATGAACCTTTCCATTGGGGCTTGTTTAGGGAAATACATAATCGGGGGGGGAGTGTTTACAAATGTTGTTTAGTTCTTCCTCCACCTGTAGTGTCTGCCGTGGCGCAGATGGAGGGTCTGCCATGTTGGGTCTGCAAGGTTTATGGACATACATGATCAGAAATGGGGAGGGGGGGGGGGGGGTTATAAATGTTTGGTTCTTCCTCTCCCTGTAGTGCCTTGGCTCAGATGGAGGGTCTGCCATGTTGGGTCTGCAAGGTTTTATGGAAATACATGATCAGAAATGGGGAATGGGGGGGGGGGGGGGGGGTTATAAATGTTTGGTTCTTCCTCTCCCTGTAGTGCCTAGGCTCAGATGGAGGGTCTGCCATGTTGGGTCTGCAAGGTTTATGGAAATACATGATCAGAAATGGGGAAGGGGGGGGGGGGGTTATAAATGTTTGGTTTCTTCCTCTCCCTGTAGTGCCTTGGCTCAGATGGAGGGTCTGCCATGTTGGGTCTGCGAGGTTTATGGAAATACATGATCAGAAATGGGGAAGGGGGGGGGGGTTATAAATGTTTGGTTCTTCCTCTCCCTGTAGTGCCTTGGCTCAGATGGAGGGTCTGCCATGTTGGGTCTGCGAGGTTTATGTAAATACATGCTCAGAAATGAGGGAAGTATAAATGTTTGGTTCCTCCTCCCCCTGTAGTGACTTGTCTCAGATGGAGGGTCTGCCATGTTGGGTCTACAAGGTTTATGGAAATACATGATCAGAATCAAAAATGGGGGGGGGGGGGGGGGTTATAAATGTTTTTAGTTCCTCCACTTGTAGTGACGTGGCTCAGATGGAGGGTCTGCCATGTTGGGTCTACAAGGTTTATGGAGAGGAATGTAGGCCTGATTATTTCCCAGGAGTAGTCTCCGTTCAGTACCAGGTACCCCAACCTCCTGGATGGACCTCCTGAAGGTGCCAGTTACTAATACTTCCATCCATTTCCTCAGGCTTGCTGAATCTCCCTTTAAGGTCCACCTGGAGAAGCTGAGCTTGGAGGAGAAGGGTAAGGATCTTCAGTCCTATCTCATCCCTCTGGAGATTGAGCTGAAGAACAGCACCATCCAGCCTGACCCGTGTCCTCTTCTCATACCTAACCCTGGCTTTGCCGCCATTCACGACTACGCCGGATGGGTCAGTGAGGAGTGTCGGGAGCCTTCAGAGATGGAAAGTAAGTACGAGCGTTCAGATCTGGATTTCTAGGATCTGCGAGGCTTAGCTGGTCCCATAAAAAGGTGCAGGTTGTTGTGAACATGAAATGAGAGAAGTTCTCGGACGGTGGGCTGGGCACCCAAGGGTTGTGTCCGTAATGGATACGGCGGGTGCATTTTCAGAATTTGTGTTTTTTAGGTCCTAAATCCACCGTTGGGTTTTTAAACTTTTCTTGTGCCGTTGTCTAGGAAGCTTCAGCAAGCTAAAGAGGACCTGTCCTGACGCTCACGTAGGCCAAAGCAACAGGCTCACTTGAACCATTTAAGTCCCAAGCCCTTTCTGGAACGTTTTGTTGACGTTTTAACTCCGTCACGCCTGAGGGTAGAACAAATGTTCATGCCGAAGCACAATTTGGCAACTTTGACGTGTTTAGTAAAACCGTCCGTAACATCATGGCTACTTCGTACATCCAGGTGGATTATACCGCGTTTTTTTTCAGGACAAATTGGGTTTTCATTTGGTGGTAAATGGTCATGATGGGTATATATATATATTTTTTTTTAATCAATGCAAAACTGGCCATGACACATGGCTAGAGGCGGTCACATGACCCTCCATACACGGAAGTACCAGGAGGAGCCATCTGCAGCTTACACACGACCAGAGGCGTGCACATTCTGGCTCCTGTAGCTAATCACAGTCGTTGGCATGTAGTTGCTATGCAGCAGTGATCAGGGCCCGTTACTGCCAGGTGGTCCTTACATTGCGATTACACATGAGCAGCTGTGATTGGCTGCAGGAGACTCCAGCCTCCTATTGCTTTTAATGGCGCTCCCTCTCACAGCTAATCGCCCGGGAGTTCGTCGCCCTCAATCGCCCGGTATTGTCGCCGGTAACCGCCGTTGGGCTCGTTCACTGGTGTCTTGTGTGGCTGAGGGACTACATATAATGTTCTCCACGTTTCTTCTCCCTCCAGCTGTGGTGAAGCACTGGTGCCTAACGTGGACCATGTGTAAGGCCTTGTGGGGCCAGCTCCGGGACTTGGAGGCCAGCCTAGATGAAACCAGCGAGTATGTGGAGAGATTACAGCGCAGGAAAGCCTTCTCCCATTGGCTGGCTGAGACGGCGGTTGAGCGCATTGAGTCAGAGGTGGTGATGCACCAGAAGGAACGTCCCATCGAAGCAGTCTTCAGTCACCTGACTGGCTGCCGAATCAGTGAGGCTTGTCGCCTGGCGCAGAGATCTGGTGAGGGCTTCATGTGTGTTCGTAGAAGTCTGAGGAGCAGTTCCACCTCCTGAGTCATTAGGGGGCGCTGTTTGTGTACAGCAGAGGCCTCCTTTCTACAGCTGTGTTGTCTTTGCAGGTGACCATCGGCTCTCTATGATGCTGTCACAGCTGGTGGGGAATCAGCAGCTCCAGGAACTGATGGCTATGCAGCTGGAAGACTGGCAGAAGCAGCAAGTGGACCGCTTCATCCAGGAGGAGCGGCTGAAGGTCTATGTGCTGCTATCTGGCACTGCAGTAAGTACAAGTTCCTTCATCCCATCTCGGGCGGGGGCTCCTCTAGGGCGGCGTCCCATCCTGGGCGGGGGGCCCTCTAGGGGCGGCGTCCCATCCTGGGCGGGGGCTCCTCTAGGGGCGGCGTCCCATCCTGGGCGGGGGACTCCTTTAGGGCGGCGTCCCATCCTGGGCGGGGGCTCCTCTAGGGGCGGGGGCTCCTCTAGGGGGGGGGGCTCCTCTAGGGGCGGCGTCCCATCCTGGGCGGGGGCTCCTCTAGGGGGGCGGCGTCCCATCCTGGGCGGGGGCTCCTCTAGGGGCGGCGTCCCATCCTGGGCGGGGGGCTCCTCTAGGGGCGGCGGCCCATCCTGGGCGGGGGCTCCTCTAGGGGCGGCGTCCCATCCTGGGCGGGGGGCTCATTTTAGAGATGACGTTTCCGTCAACCGAACTGTATCTCCCCCGGCCCAACCTCTTTAGGGGAATCCTTCACTCCCTCATTTTTGCTCCATCCCAGACTCGCACCTTTGGGCCAGATATGGTATTAGAACCCTGGTGGATGTTATGTCCTCTGAGGTGCTATTAGCATTCTCTCAGCTTTCCCAGAGATTTCCTCTTCCGCAGATGTTCTTCTATTTCCAACTGCAACATGCAGCCAGGGCCCAATTTCCGCAGCCACCTATCTTTCAGGGGGACCCTGTCGAGGAGCTGTTGACTCAGGAGGACCTCTACAAACCACTGTCTACCCTCTGTAGAACATTCCTTGGTGTTAATTCCCATAAGAAATTATGGGCTATATGGAGAGAAGATATTCCTTCTCTGGATGAGGAGGATTGGGCGAAGGCTCTGGTGAAGGGAGTTGAGTTGGTTATCTCCTCCAGGGATAAGCTCATACAGGTCACATTTCACATAGGGTCTACTTTACCCCCTTTAGGTTCTCTCTCGGATATACCCAGAGTGGGACCCTACCTGTCCTCGCTGTAGGTTGCAGCTCGGTACCTTTTTTATACATATGTGTCAGACGTGTCCTAGAATTTTATTATTTGGTCTGATGTTCTTCAGCTAATTAATGTACGGCTTCAGTTGTCCTTGACCCTCTCACCTGCCTTAGCATTGTGGGGGCTTCATGATGATGGCCAACGATCCCACCACCTCAAGTTGTTGATAATCCTATCTCCTTTAGAGAGATTCTATTAAAATGGAATTCTGGGGATCCCCTGGTGACATCGTCTTGGGAAATGGCTGTGGATGTGAGCCCCCCCCCAATGTACAAGCTTGCCTATATCAATAGGGGCTGTCCATGGAAGTGTAAGGTGTGGCTCCCCTGGACGTCTCACTGAGGGATTGTGGTGACCCACTATTCTCTACTGGGATTTTGGAGTGGGGACGTATGGTAGCTTCCTTTTCCCTCCTTGTGTTCTTTTCTTCTCCCCCCATTTTCTTTTCCTTTTCTCTGTCCTTCCCCTAACCCCCCCCCCCCCCCCCCTTTCTATTTTCTTGGATATCTGGTTTTTCTGCTCATTCCACCCCTGGGTTTTCTCCTCACACACGGCTTCTATTGCGGCAGTATTGCACTGATTGTCGTGATTATTGTGTGCAGAGTGTTTTGCTCCTCCCTTCCTCTTGCCCTACATTGGATGTTGTGTAATATATATTGTTTTTACTCAACTGTTCTGTACCAAAACTTTTATGTCAAATGGTTGTATTATGTGCCTGTTATACTGTTTTTTTTTGTACTTCCTTTTACAATAAAACGCCCTATTTTTGTGTAAAAAAAAAAAAAAAAAAAAAAAATCTACACAGACCTTCAAATCACAGCTCACCCCCATCTGTGGCAGAGCCTAGTTCTGATCCTCCTGGATCCTAAGAAACCATCTACTCATAGACCTTCAAAATCACGGCTTGGCTCCCTCTATGGCAGAGCCTAGTTCTGATCCTCCTGGATCCTAAGAAACCATCTACTCATAGACCTTCAAATCACGGCTTGGTTCCCTCTATGGCAGAGCCTAGTTCTGATCCTCCTGGATCCTAAGAAACCATCTACTCATAGACCTTCAAATCACGGCTTGGTTCCCTCTATGGCAGAGCCTAGTTCTGATCCTCCTGGATCCCAAGAAACCATCTACTCGTAGACCTTCAAATCACGGCTTTGTTCCCTCTATGGCAGAGCCTAGTTCTGATCCTCCTGGATCCCAAGAAACCATCTACTCGTAGACCTTCAAATCACGGCTTTGTTCCATCAATGGCAGAGCCTAGTTCTCATCCTCCTGGATCCCAAGAAACCATCTACTCGTATACCTTCAAATCACGGCTTTGTTCCATCAATGGCAGAGCCTAGTTCTCATCCTCCTGGATCCCAAAGAAACCATCTACTCGTAGACCTTCAAATCACGGCTTTGTTCCATCAATGGCAGAGCCTAGTTCTCATCCTCCTGGATCCCAAGAAACCATCTACTCGTAGACCTTCAAATCACGGCTTTGTTCCATCAATGGCAGAGCCTAGTTCTCATCCTCCTGGATCCCAAGAAACCATCTACTCATAGACCTTCAAATCACGGCTTGGCTCCATCAGTGGCAGAGCCTAGTTCTGATCCTCCTGGATCCCAAGAAACCATCTACTCATAGACCTTCAAATCACCGCTTGGCTCCATCAGTGGCAGAGCCTAGTTTTGATACTCCTGGATCCTAAGAAACCATCTACTCATAGACCTTCAAATTATGACTTAGTTCCATCAATGGCAGAGCCTAGTTCTCATCCTCTGGGATCCTAAGAAATCATCTACTCATATACCTTCAAATCACGGTTTGGCTCCATCAGTGGCAGAGCCTAGTTCTGATCCTCCTGGATCCTAAGAAACCATCTACTCATAGACCTTCAAATCATGGTTCACCTCCATTTATGGTAGAGCTTAGTTCTTACCCTCTGGGATTCTATGAGTAGATTGTTTCCTTGGATCCCAGAGGGTGAGAATTAGGCTATGGAGCTGAGCCGTGATTTGAAGGTCTATGAGTAGATGGTTTCTGAAGATCAGAACTAGGCTCTGCCATAGATTATTATTATTATTATTATTACTACATGGAGTTTATATATAGCGCCAAAGGGTTTGCTCAGCGCTGTACAATAGGGGGGACAATACATGGCACAGTACAACAACAACAAACAACGTACGAGGGGTAAGAGGGCCCTACTCTTACGAGCTTACAATCTAGGAGGGAGGGGGTAAAGGTACAGTAGGAAGTGGCTGAGGGGGATGAAGTGGTGGGAGGAATGAGGGAGGATGGCCGTTAGGTGAGGGTGGGGTAGGCTTCCCTGAAGAGATGGGTTTTGAGGGAGCGCCTGAATGTGAATAGGGAAGGCGACAGTCTGATGGATTGGGGCAGTGAGTTCCAGAGGATGGGGGAGGACCTGGAGAAGTCCTGCAGTCGTGCATGGGAGGAGGAGACCAGGGAGCAGGATAGGAGGTCCTGTGAGGAGCGTAGGGTACGGGTAGGGTGGTACTTGGTGATCAGGTTGGTGAGGTAGTCAGGGGCAGTGTTGTGAACGGCTTTATAGGTCAGGGTTAGGAGTTTAAATTTGATGCGTTGGGCAATCGGGAGCCAGTGGAGGGAGAGGCAGAGGGGGGTGGCAGAGGTGGAGCGGGTGGTGAGGTGGATAGATGAAGCTGACCTTCAAATCGTGGCTCAGCTCCATCTATGGCAGAGTCTAGTTCTGATCCTCAGAAACCATATACTCATAGACCTTCAAATCACAGCTCAGCTCCATCAGTGGCAGAGCCTAGTTCTGATCCTCCTGGATCCTAAGAAACCATGTACTCATAGGATCCCAGAGGGTGATTACTAGGCTCTGCCACTGATGGAGCTGAGCTGTGATTTGAAGGTCTAAGATGGTTTCTTTGGGTCCAGGAGAATCCATACTAGGCTCTGCCACTGATGGAGCTGAGCTGTGATTTGAAGGTCTATGAGTAGATGGTTTTCTGAGGATCAGAACTAGACTCTGCCATAGATGGAGCTGAGCCATGATTTGAAGGTCTAAGATGGTTTCTTTGGGTCCAGGAGAATCAGTACTAGGCTCTGCCACTGATGGAGCTGAGCTGTGATTTGAAGGTCTATGAGTAGATGGTTTCTGAGGATCAGAACTAGACTCTGCCACTAGATGGAGCTGAGCCATGATTTCAAGGTCTAAGATGGTTTCTTTGGGTCCAGGAGAATCGGTACTAGGCTCTGCCACTGATGGAGCTCATAGACCTTCAAATCACAGCTCAGCTCCATCTATGGCAGAGCCTAGTTCTTACCCTCTGTGATCAAGGAAACAATCTACTAATAGGATCCCAGAGGGTGAAATCTAGGCTGTGCCACTGATGGAGCTGATCCGTGATTTGAAGGTCTATGAGTAGATGGTTTCTTAGGATCCCGGAGGATCAGAATTAGGCTCTGCCACTGATGGTGATCATAGACCCTCAAATCATGGCTTGGCTCCATCAGTGGTGGAGACAAGTTCTCACCCTCCAGGATCCTATGAAGTACAGGGATGGTGGCCCAGGTTAGCGGAAGGAAAAGTATGTGTAAAACATATGAACGGTAGACCTGATCCTCCATCTGCGCTGTAGTAATCCTTGTACTCAATGCTTTAATGGGGCAAAGAGAAGACTCCACCCCCCCCCCCCCCCCCAGAATGCAGCAACCAATCACAGATCATTTTCAATAGTCGTCCTGTACAGAAGGTGGGGAGAAGGTAGCTGAGGACTTTTGTTGGTAAACTGATAGATCCATGTGCTGTTTGTTGCTGGAAGCTCTGCTGCAGTTCTACCGATCCCATGTGACCACAAGTGTCCTCTGTCCCCTCCCCCCAGGTATGGCAATCCTCTGACAAGAAGTCCATCAATGTCTGCTCTCAGCTGGACTGGAAGCGAGCGTTGGCTGTCCACCTCTGGTACATGCTCCCACCTACCGCCTCCATCGCCCAGGCCCTGCACAAATACCAGGAGGCTTTTCAGGTAGAGGCTCTGGATTGTTGTCACTGACTGATAACGGGTGACACCGTCCTTCTACTGACTGATAACGGGACACCCTCCTCTTCTACTGACTGATAACGGGGGTGGTGACACCCTCCTCTTCTACTGACTGATAAAACGGGGGTGACACCCTCCTCTTCTACTGACTGATAACGGGGGGGTGACACCCTCCTTTTCTACAGACTGATAACGGGGGGGTGACACCCTCCTCTTCTACAGACAGATAACGGGGGGTGACACCCTCCTCTTCTACTGACTGATAACGGGGGTGACACCCTCCTCTTCTACTGACTGACGGGGGGGGACACCCTCCTCTTCTACAGACAGATAACGGGGGGGGTGACACCCTCCTCTTCTACTGACTGATAACGGGGGGTGACACACCCTCCTCTTCTACTGACTGATAACGGGGGGGTGACACCCTCCTCTTCTACAGACAGATAACGGGAGGTGACACCCTCCTCTTCTACTGACTGATAACGGGGGGGTGACACCCTCCTCTTCTACTGACAGATAACGGGGGGTGACACCCTCCTCTTCTACTGACTGATAACGGGGGTGACACCCTCCTCTTCTACAGACTGATAACGGGGGGGTGACACCCTCCTCTTCTACAGACTGATAACGGGGGGGTGACACCCTCCTCTTCTACTGACTGATAACGGGGGGTGACACCCTCCTCTTCTACTGACTGATAACGGGGGTGGGTGACTGACCGGGGGGGTGACACCCCCTCCGTGCCTCTTCTACTGACTGATAACGGTGACACCCTCCTCTTCTACTGACTGATAACGGGGGGGTGACACCCTCCTCTTCTACAGACAGATAACGGGGGGGTGACACCCTCCTCTTCTACAGACTGATAACGGGGGGGTGACACCCTCCTCTTCTACTGACTGATAACGGGGGGTGACACCCTCCTCTTCTACTGACTGATAACGGGGGGGTGACACCCTCCTCTTCTACTGACTGATAACGGGGGGTGACACCCTCCTCTTCTACTGACTGATAACGGGGGGGGGTGACACCCTCCTCTTCTACTGACTGATAACGGGGGGACACCCTCCTCTTCTACTGACTGATAACGGGGGGGGTGACACCCTCCTCTTCTCTGACTGATAACGGGGGGGGTGACTGACTGATAACGGGGGGTGACACCCTCCTCTTCTACTGACTGATAACGGGGGGTGACCCTCCCTTCTCTACTGACTGATAACGGGGGGTGACACCCTCCTCTTCTACTGACTGATAACGGGGGGGGTGACACACCCTCCTCTTCTACTGACTGATAACGGGGGGGTGACACCCTCCTCTTCTACTGACTGATAACGGGGGGTGACACCCTCCTCTTCTACTGACTGATAACGGGGGGGGTGACACCCTCCTCTTCTACTGACTGATAACGGGGGGGGTGACACCCTCCTCTTCTACTGACTGATAACGGGGGGGACACCCTCCTCTTCTACTGACTGATAACGGGGGGGTGACACCCTCCTCTTTCTACTGACTGATAACGGGGGGGTGACACCCTCCTCTTCTACTGACTGATAACGGGGGGGTGACACCCTCCTCTTCTACTGACTGATAACGGGGGTGACACCCTCCTCTTCTACTGACTGATAACGGGGGGGTGACACCCTCCTCTCTTCTACAGACTGATAACGGGGGGGGGTGACACCCTCCTCTTCTACAGACAGATAACGGGGGGTGACACCCTCCTCTTCTACTGACTGATAACGGGGGTGGTGACGCCCTCCTCTTCTACAGACAGATAACGGGGGGTGACACCCTCCTCTTCTACAGACTGATAACGGGGGGTGACACCCTCCTCTTCTACTGACTGATAACGGGGGGTGACACCCTCCTCTTCTACTGACTGATAACGGGGGGGTGACACCCTCCTCTTCTACTGACTGATAACGGGGGTGACACCCTCCTCTTCTACTGACTGATAACAGGGGTGACACCCTCCTCTTCTACTGACTGATAACAGGGGTGACACCACCCTCCTCTTCTGCTGACTGATAACGGGGGGGTGACACCCTCCTCTTCTACTGACTGATAACGGGGGTGACACCCTCCTCTTCTACTGACTGATAACGGGGGGGGTGACACCCTCCTCTTCTACTGACTGATAACGGGGGTGACACCCTCCTCTTCTACTGACTGATAACGGGGGGTGACACCCTCCTCTTCTACTGACTGATAACGGGGGGTGACACCCTCCTCTTCTACTGACTGATAACGGGGGTGACACCCTCCTCTTCTACTGACTGATAACGGGGGTGACACCCTCCTCTTCTACTGACAACGGGGGGGTGACACCTCCTCTTCTACTGACTGATAACGGGGGGGGTGACACCCTCCTCTTCTACTGACTGATAACGGGGGGGTGACACCCTCCTCTTCTGACTGACTGATAACGGGGGGGACACCCTCCTCTTCTACTGACTGATAACGGGGGGGTGACACCCTCCTCTTCTACTGACTGATAACGGGGGGGTGACACCCTCCTCTTCTACTGACTGATAACGGGGTGGGGTAACACCCTCCTCTTCTACTGACTGATAACGGGGGGGTGACACCCTCCTCTTCTACTGACTGATAACGGGGGGTGACACCCTCCTCTTCTACAGAATGATAACGGGGGGGTGACACCCTCCTCTTCTACAGAATGATAACGGGGGGGTGACACCCTCCTCCTGTCTGATATTGGGGCTGACACTCTCCCTCTTTCCCCCCCCCCCCAGGTGTCGGAGGAGGGTCAGTGCTATGCATCCTATCCTCTGCCTTCATATCTGGAGAATACTGACCTCACTATGGAGTCTGAGACCTTCCCTCCATCTATGCAGAGAGATGTCTGCTTCCACCTCCTGAGGCTGTACAGTGACAGGTGAGTGACACCTTGTGTAGTAGACTTGTCCCGGTCACTTGTATCCAGCCTCCATCCTATGGAGGATCCCACAAATCGGTGTCGCTGGACAGTACACCGCCATGGTATATGAGAGGGCTGGTCATTTGGGGGGGGGGGGGGGGGGGGGGGGCCTCTAAGTTACCCAGTGCACAGTCTGTGGAACCTATCAACTGGCAGCTCTTCCAGGTCTAGACTCCACCCCCTGATGACATCATCCATGTAACCAGAATCAGCAGTGCGGAGGATATGGCTTGGATGTCATGTTGCATGGAGTGCCTGGGCATTCTCATCCTGTGCCCATAGGCTCCGCCTCCTTGCGGGAAATCCCCCTTGTAGACGGTTGTCACCGGAACAGGTGTCCTCATTGGGGGAAATCCCCCTTGTAGACGGTTGTCACCGGAACAGGTGTCCTCATTGTAGGAAATCCCCCTTGTAGACGGTTGTCACCGGAACAGGTGTCCTCATTGGGGAAATCCCCTTGTAGACGGTTGTCACCGGAACAGGTGTCCTCATTGGGGGAAATCCCCCTTGTAGACGGTTGTCACCGGAACAGGTGTCCTCATTGGGCAGATCCCCTTGTAGACCAGAGCAGGGTTGTCACCAGAGCAGGTGTCCTCATTGGGGGAAATCCCCCTTGTAGACGGTTGTCACTAGAGCAGGTGTCCTCATTGGGCAATCCCCTTGTAGACGGTTGTCACTAGAACAGGTGTCCTCATTGGGCAGATCCCCCTTGTAGGCGATTGTCACTGGAACAGGTGTCCTCATTGGGGGAAATCCCCCTTGTAGACGATTGTCGCCAGAGCAGGTGTCCTCATTGGGGGAAATCCCCCTTGTAGACGGTTGTCACTAGAACACGTGTCCTCATTGGGCAATCCCCCTTGTAGGCGATTGTCACCGGAACAGGTGTCCTCATTGGGGGAAATCCCCCTTGTAGACGATTGTCGCCAGAGCAGGTGTCCTCATTGGGGGATATCCCTCCTTGTAGACAATTTTCACCGGAACAGATGTCCTCATTGGGAGAAATTCTCCTTGTAGACGGTTGTGACCAGAGCAGGTGTCCTCATTGGGGGAAATCCTCCCCTTTTAGATGGTTGTCACCAGAGCAGGTCTCCCCAGTGAGACGTGGACCTCAGGATGACCCCTCGGGGCTTGTAAACCTCTGTAGATGCACTTTCTTAGGTTTTTCCGGTCACTTGACTGACTTCTGTCCTCTTTAATAATCAAGGATTTCACCTTGTGACTCCTCTGTAGGTCTTATGACCTCCGCCAGCTCCTGGACCCCCGAAGTATCACCTCCGACCCCCTGGACTATCGTCTCAGCTGGCACCTCTGGATGGTACTACAGGCGCTAAATTACACCCACCTGTCAGCGCAGAGCCAGGGAGTGCTGCACGCCAGTTATGCTGCCCAACTAGAGAACGTGGGGCTGTGGGGAGTGGGCCGTCTTCGTCATGCTTCACATCCCGGACCCCGTGTGAGTAGTCATGTCTTTCATCATCCTTCACATCCCCGGGTAGTCTTCATGTGAATCCAGGCTCAGCTTGGTCCTCTTTTCTGTAGTGTTCGGGAGTTGGCTGTGCGAGAGCTCCTACACCGGCACTGCGTCCTGCGGGAGACGACGGAGTCACTGATGAAGGAGAAGTTCCTGGTTGAGAAGCTCTGCATCCCAGCACAATGGATCCACGAGGCCAAAGCCATTCGTTCCAGGAGAGAAGGAGACAGACACAAAGAGGCCATGTATCTACTGAGAGCCGGCCACTGGAACCAGTGTCACCGGCTGGTCTCCCGTCATCTGGCTTCAGGTCAGCACCACAAGGGGGTGTCCTGGGGGAGGGTCCGAGCGGAGGGGGGTCTCCTGGGGGAGGGTGTGATCAATGTTTTGTCTTCCAGATGCCATCATAAATGAGAATTACTCTTACCTACGCACCTTCTTGGACGAATTGTCCCGTCCCGAGAACTGCATCCACATCCAGGGTTGGGACACGGCAGGACAGGTTTGCCTGGATTACATCTCTGTCATAGAGATGCTGAACAGTATCCGGCAGGTGAGGCTCAGGACAAGGATATTGGATCTTCTTTGGTGGGTGGGGCTCGGGCTGAGGTGATTGGGTGTCTTCTCTGGATGTTGGGGCTCAGGGTAAGGTTGTCGGCGGGGATCATCTCTGGTAAGTGGGGCTCAGAGAGAGGTTATTGGGGATCTCCTTTGGTGGGTGGGGCTCAGGGTGAGGTTGTTGGGCATTTTCTCTTTTGGGTGGGCCTCGGGGTAAGGTTGGGCATCTCCTCTCCTGGATGGGGCTCAGGGTGGGGTTTTCAGGGATCTTCTCTGGTGGTGGGGTTTTCAGGGATCTTCTCTGGTGGGAGGGGCTCAGGGTGAGGTGGGGATCTTCTCTGGTGGGGCTCAGGGTGAGGTTGGGGATCTTCTCTGGTGGGAGGGGCTCAGGGTGAGGTTGCTGGGGGATCATCCATGGTGGGTGGGTATCAGTTGGTTATCTTCTATGGATCTTGGGGCTCAGGGCATGGATGTCAGGGATCTTCTGTGGTGGGTGAGTCTCATGGTGAGGTGATCGCGGGTCTCCTCTGGATGTTGGGGCTCAGGATGAGGTTGGGGATCTTCTCTGGTGGGAGGGGTGAGGTTGCTGGGGGATCTTCTCTGGTGAGTAAGACTCGGGATGAGGTTGCTGGGGGCTGGTGGGTGGGGGGGAGGTTGCTGGGGGATCTTCTGGTGGGTGGGACTCAGGGTGAGGTTGCTGGGGGATCTACTCCGGTGGGTGGGAGACGCTTATCTTCTCTGGATGTTGGGGCTCAGGGCATGGATCTTCTGTGGTGGTTGAGGATCGGGGAGGGTATGGTGGATCTGTGGTGGGTGAGGCTCGGGGAGGATATGGTGGGTGAGGCTTGGGTGGTATGGTGTGATCTGTGGTGGGTGAGGCTTGTGTGGTGGGTGAGGCTTGGGTGGTATGGTGGATCTGTGGTGGGTGAGGCTTGGGTGGTATGGTGGATCTGTGGTGGGTGAGGCCCGGGGGAGGTATGGTGGATCTGTGGTGGGTGAGGCCCGGCGAGGATGGGGTGGATTTGTGGTGGGTGAGGCTTGGGTGGTATGGTGGATCTGTGGTGGTTGAGGCTCGGGGAGGGTATGGTGGATCTGTGGTGGGTGAAGGATGACGGGGGTCTCTCTCTTCCAGAGTGAATGTTCGGGGTATGGTATCTGTGTTGGGTGGTATGGGGGGTGGGTGGTATGGTGGATCTGTGGTGGGTAAAGGATGACGGGTCTCTCTCTTCCAGAGTGAATGTTCGGGTATGGTGGATTTTGGGGGTGGTATGGTGGATCTGTGGTGGGTGAAGGATGACGGGGTCTCTCTCTTCCAGAGTGAATGTTCGGGGTATGGGGGTATCTGTGGTGGGTGGTATGGTGGATGGGGGTGGTGGTATGGTGGATCTGTGGTGGGTGATGACGGGGTCTCTCTCTTCCAGAGTGAAATGTCTCGGGGGGTATGGTGGATCTGTGGTGGGTGGTATGGTGGATCTGGTGGTGGGTGGTATGGTGGATCTGTGGTGTGGTGGTGGTCTCGGGGGTGGTATGGTGGATCTGTGGTGTGGTGGGTGGTATGGTGGATCTGTGGTGGTGGGTGAAGGATGACGGGGTCTCTCTCTTGCAGAGTGAATGTTCGGGGTATGGTGGGTCTCGGGGGTGGTATGGTGGATCTGTGGTGGGGGTGGTATGGTGGATCTGTGGTGGGTGGTATGGTGGATCTGTCTGGGTGGTGTATGGTGATCTGTGGTGGGGTGAATGACGGGGTCTCTCTTTTGCAGAGTGAATGTTCGGGGTATGGTGGATCTGTGGTGGGTGGTATGGTGGATCTGTGGTGGGTGGTATGGTGGATCTGTGGTGGGTGGTATGGTGGATCTGTGGTGGGTGGTATGGTGGATCTGTGGTGGGTGGATGATGATGATGACGGGGGTCTCTCTTGCAGAGTGAATGTTCAGGGTATGGTGGATCTGTGGTGGGTGGTATGGTGGATCTGTGGTGGGTGGTATGGTGGATCTGTGGTGGGTCTCGGGGGTGGTATGGTGGATCTGTGGTGGGTGGTATGGTGGATCTGTGGTGGGTGAATGATGATGGGGTCTCTCTTGCAGAGTGAATGTTCGGGGTACGAGCTGGAGAGGTTACACAATAAAGTCATCTCCGTCTGTAACCGGGTGGAGCAGATCCAGTGCTACAAGTCCAAAGACCGGTTGGCTCAGTCCGGTAAGTGTTGGCCAATCCTTATCCTGAGTTCAGCCGGAACCACCAATAGGAAGTCCTGGTACTGGGACAGAGGGGGGAGGTGGCATTATGTCGGGGACCTCCCCTCTCCTCACTGATTGGTGGATTTCCTATCCCGGTCATACAGCACTTGGCTGATGGCTCAGACACGCCCTTCTAACCCCGCTTGTCCTTCCTTTCCAGAAATGGCGAAACGCGTTGCCAACATCCTCCGCGTGGTCCTGCGTTTACAGCATTCACCGGAATCGGACGACTCCGCCGACCTCCAGCGGGTCCCCCTCAGACTGCTGGCCCCCCACATCGGCCGGCTCCCCATGCCAGAGGACTATGCTATGGAGGAACTCCGCAGCCTCACACAGTCTTACTTGAGAGAACTGACTCTGCGCAGCCAATAAAACGGCGCCTGTCCGGTCATGTGACTTCCCTCTGGGAGGCCTTTTTTGTATTTCCAGTGCCCCTCCCCGGGAAGGCGGGGTCAGAGGCCGGGAGTGGCCGTTCCTGCAGGTAGATTGCTGAATGTGAGTCCCATTTAAAGGAGAAGTACAAGATTTCTAGAACCATGGAGCCGGCCCACCTCTGAAGCTGTGGGCCAATCAGCAGTCGGGATTCCATAGAAACACCCTCATTAGCCTGGGGCCCCGTGGCATTGATATCCACCAGTGTGGGGGGGAGGGGAGGGTGTTTTTATTGGTGCATAAAGAATCTTCCACTTCTCCTTTTTAATGACGTCCTCTTGTGATTGGTCAATGGTGGGAGGGCGTGGCATACGTTGTAATGACGTCCTCTTGTGATTGGTCAATGGTGGGAGGGCGTTGGCATACGTTGTAATGACGTCCTCCTGTGATTGGCCGATGGTGGGAGGGTGTTGGCATACGTTGTATTGACGTCCTCCTGTGATTGGCCATTGGTGGGAGGGTGTTGGCATACATTGTAATGACGTCCTCCTGTGATTGGCCGATGGTGGGAGGGTGTTGGCATATGTTGTAATGACGTCCTCCTGTGATTGGCCGATGGTGGGAGGGTGTTGGCATACATTGTAATGACGTCCTCCTGTGATTGGCCGATGGTGGGAGGGTGTTGGCATACATTGTAATGACGTCCTCCTGTGATTGGCCGATGGTGGGAGGGTGTTGGCATATGTTGTAATAACGTCCTCCTGTGATTGGCCATTGGTGGGAGGGTGTTGGCATACATTGTAATGACGTCCTCCTGTGATTGGCCGATGGTGGGAGGGTGTTGGCATTGTTGTAATGACGTCCTCCTGTGATTGGCCATTGGTGGGAGGGTGTTGGCATACATTGTAATGACGTCCTCCTGTGATTGGCCGATGGTGGGAGGGTGTTGGCATATGTTGTAATGACGTCCTCCTGTGATTGGCCGATGGTGGGAGGGTGTTGGCATATGTTGTAATAACGTCCTCCTGTGATTGAGTGACTACAACGTATACCGGCATCGTCCAATCACCGACCAGTCGCAGGAGGATGTCCTTACAACATATACCGACGCCCTCCAATCACCGGCCAATCGCAGGAGGACGTCCTTACAACATATACCGACGCCCTCCAATCACCGGCCAATCGCAGGAGGACGTCCTTACAACATATACCGACGCCCTCCAATCACCGGCCAATCGCAGGAGGACGTCCTTACAACATATACCGACGCCCTCCAATCACCGGCCAATCGCAGGAGGACGTCCTTACAACATATACCGACGCCCTCCAATCACCGGCCAATCGCAGGAGGACGTCCTTACAACATATACCGACGCCCTCCAATCACCGGCCAATCGCAGGAGGACGTCATTGCCCGAGGTTTCCTATGTACAGAGTTTTTATGTTGGATGGTGTGGCTCTCCTCTGGAGGTGGTGACTGATTGGTGGGATGTCCCCTCACACGTCCCAGTCCCGTCATCTGCCAAAGTATGAGGAGCGTCTGATTGGGTGTCACAATGATGCGTTTGATTTGCTCGGCCTATCACTGTTCTCATTGCAAGTGTGGATGAGTCGTCCACTGGTGACCTGCCGCTGGGGGGCGCTCTGGGTGTGAAGGACATCTGTAGTGGGCCCCCGGCTGTATGATGTCTGGCCTCCTATCGGGGACCCATTACCATGTCCTGCCTGTTGGGGAATGTTACCGCTGGCCGCAACGTCACCCCGAGCAACCGCCAGCTGATCCGTGATGGGGGCGGAGACTTCACACAACCCTCCGCCTTCCCGTGGAAGTTCATGGGAACCCAGCAACCTGATCCTGCATGGCGGTGGGAGGGTCATCCAACTCACTGGCCTATCACTTCAATCTGCCGGGATGTGACCGTTCCCCCCCACCCTCCCCGTCACCTGACCCTTCTCCCCCACCCTCCCCGTCACCTGACCCTTCTCATCACCCACCCCTCCCCGTCACCTGACCCTCTGCAGCTGTGACCCCCAACTGTCCCTGGCTGGTATAGTCACCCCAATCGCCCAATTCTCCCCCGGGTCGGAGTGTCCCCCAATGGTCCCGGGTCTGGGTGTCCTCCCAATGGTCCTGGGTATGAGTGACCCCCGACTCTCCCTGGGTTTGGGTGTGTCGTGTCCCCCCCAGTGGTCCCAACTCTTGCTGGGTATGAGTGTCTCCCCAATCACCCAGTTCTCCCCCAGGTATGAGGGTCCCCCCACTGGACCAGACTTTTCCCGGGTGTGAGAGTCCTGGCTCTCCCCAGGTTAGAGGGTGTCTCCCCACCCCCCCATGGGTCTCGACTCTCCCCGGGTACGAGGGTCCCTCCAGTGGTCTTGACTCTCCCCGGGTACAAGGGTCCCCCCAATGGTCCTGACTCTCCCTGGGTATGAGTGTCTCCCCCGGGTACGAGGGTCCCCCAATGGTCCCGACTCTCCCCGGGTATGAGTGTCTCCCCCGGGTACGAGGGTCCCCCAATGGTCCCGACTCTCCCCAGGTATGAGTGTCTCCCCCGGGTACGAGGGTCCCCCAATGGTCCCGACTCTCCCCAGGTATGAGTGTCTCCCCAATCACTCAGTTCTCTCCCGGGTACAAGGGTCCTCCCCAATGGTCCTGGGTATCAGTGTCCCCCCCCGATGGTCCCGGGTATGAGTGTCCCCTCCCCCGATCTCCGGGCTGTGTGGAAGTGTCGGAGCCCCGCCCTCTGGCGTGGTCTGGTGTGCGTTTGCCCGGTGTTGATGCATGGGGTTATGAGAAATTTTATTTTAAGAGAATTAATAAATACAAATTCTTTTGTTTTTTTGTCTCCAGAACTTTTTAATAAAACTTTACAATGCAGTTTGGTGTCATCTGTATGGGGGATGGGGGGGGTGGGATCCGTATGGGGGGTGGGGGAATCCGCTCTGGCTTTGCAACCATCTAGATCACGGGTGTCAAACTGGCGGCCCTCCAGCTGTTGGTGAACTACAAATCCCATCATGCCTTTGGGAGCCACGCTTGTAACTGTCAGCCTTGCAATGCCTCATGGGACTTGTAGTTTGGCGACATCTGGAGGGCCACCAGTTTGACCCCCGTGATCTAGATGAAATCATCGGTGACTGGCCACACCTCCGGCATCCCCATCACTCCATGCAGCTTCCTGCGTGTCCTTTCCCGCCGCTGCCGTCCTCTTCACAGCATGGCGAAGGGCTGGAGGTGCAGTAGGTCTGGATGGGCAATGGGAGCCGCCCCACGTGATTGGCTGCTAGGATCACCCCGAACCATAACCAATCACCTGCAACGTTGACAAACTCCTGACCTATCGCACCTCCAATCCTCTGCCCTGCTATGTACAATGGGACTGGAATATGGTGGGGGGGGGGTCTGAGGACATCGATGGAAAGAGGGGCGGGCTGTGATGGAAGGAAAGGGGCGGGCTGTGATGGCAGGAAAGGGGGGCGGGCTGTGATGGCAGGAAAGGGGGGCGGGCTGTGATGGCAGGAAAGGGGGGGGCGGGCTGTGATGGAAGGAGAGAGGGGCGGGCTGTGATGGAAGGAAAGGGGGGCAGGCTGTGATGGCAGGAAAGGGGGGCGGGCTGTGATGGAAGGGAGCTGTGAGGGCGGGCTGTGATGGCAGGAAAGGGGGGCGGGCTGTGATGGGAGGAAAGGGGGGCGGGCTGTGATGGCAGGAGAGGGGGGCGGGCTGTGATGGCAGGAGAGGGGGGGCGGGCTGTGATGGCAGGAAGGGGGGCGGGCTGTGATGGCAGGAAAGGGGGGCGGGCTGTGATGGAAGGATGAGAGGGGCGGGCTGTGATGGCAGGAGGGGGGGGCGGGCTGTGAGAGGGGCGGGCTGTGAAGAGATGGCAGGAGAGGGGGGGGGGGGGAGGGGGGCGGGCTGTGATGGCGGGCTGTGTGATGGCGGGAGGAGAGGGGGGCGGGCTGTGATGGAAGGAGAGGGGGGCGGGCTGTGATGGAAGGAGAGGGGGGCGGGCTGTGATGGAAGGGAGGGGCTAAGTACTTGCACCAACATCAGATTTGGCCCTCGGGAACTGGAAGAACATTTTAATGGCTGACCTCCATGAATTTGAGTTCAATTCTACCTTGGTTGGTATGGATGGCCTCTTCCTGTCCTAGTGACAACATTGTCCCATTGTTTGAAGTGAGGGGGTGGCTCCTCTGGGGACACGAATGAGGAACTGGACCCCTTCAGCCTTTTATTACTTTCTGCCCATGTTGAGGTTTTTGACTTTTTCGTGTTCTGGTGACCATGTTCCCCCTGAGATGGAAGAAGGAATCCTGCCATTGGACACATCTCCTCTCCGCCAGAAACAACATAAAAAGGGTTTTGGCTGCAGTTGCACCCCAAGCAAGGTGCCCCTCCCCCTCTTTCTAGAGTGCCTAAATATTCTGGAGCAGGTGGTGAACCACCTCATCCTCTCGCCGTCAAGGCTGGTGAATCCCTACAGATGGAGATGTCCCACCAATAAATATAAATGACATACAAAACACATTCCGGTCAGTCAGGTATTTCCCGTAGAAAGCTTTTCTTGGTTCTCCAGTAGAGGACTTCATAGTCATGGCTACCTGGCTTCTGCTGCCACCTTCAGATGAATGGACGCTGGCCAAATGCTGGGCATGACCCCTCCCCTCCCAGGCTCGGACCCCTCCCAGCTCAGGCTCTGACCCCTCCCAGCTCAGACCCCTCCCAGCTCAGGCTCGGACCCCTCCCAGCTCAGCCAGCCAGTCATTTAGTTTTGTAGCCATCGATGAAGAACATGCGTTGAGGGTGATGGAGGACCTCCTGTGTCCTGTGATTTTACTCCAAGAAAAGAAATTTACAGGTAAACCAAAACTCAGTTCTTATTTGCACCTCATAGAAGACAGAGGCCTCCATATTCATGACAACTTGTGATGTCCCAAAGCAACTGACCATGAGGGGTGAGCAGCACTGCCAACACAATGGGGTACCCCACTAGAAAGCG